TCATCATTGTGATAATTGATACAATATCAATTGAATTTTCTAGAGATTCCTAAGCAATGAAGGATATTAAATGTAAGCTAAAGTAGTGAGGATTTTTAATAATATATGTATTTTTTTTAATTATTAGATAGAGGATCAAATTTAAATCAGATCAAATAACTGTTATAAAAAGTCCATAAAGGAAGGTTTACACATTTGTATGTCCTGTAACATACAAAACAAAGAATGAAGGCATATAATATAATTTTGGGTCAAGTTTTTACTCACAAGGGAGGGGGATATATTTGCCTCTTGAAATAAATTTCCATTCAGATGTATCCTGTAACTACAATGTTCGTCACTTAAATATAATTCTTCAAACGTACTAAGGCTATAAGGCTAAGAAAGGCTATAGATTTTAATTGTGTAATATTTTGTAATATATATATATATCATTTAGCAGAAATATACTAATGAAGTTGTGCTTAAATGTATGGCACACCGATTGCTTCAAAATTATTTTCTGCGCGACCTTAAACAAAAATTACACGAGTAAGTAAAAACTTACACAAAGTGAGGAAAATATACACGAAGTTATTGAAATTTACACAAACTATAGAAAAACTGCACAATCAACAAAATATTTACACGATATAGTGAGAAATTACACAAACGTAAAAACGAAAACTGCACGAGTGAGAATACAACATCGACATAATATGGAACGCATCCTCATTGCGCACGTTTCATTAATATTCATTAGAGAACAGGTCAATGCATGTGGCTTGGATGCTTGAAACACACTATAAATACGAGTAACGTGTTAGTAATCTTTTTAAAAACGATTCTTTTAAAATTCCGCTAGACTCTTAAGAATATGTACAACGTATATTATACATGTAGATAAATTGACAGGTACACAATCTTAAACTTGTAGTATATGAACACTCCCGAATAAAAAACATTCTACAAAGAATACATGTATAGATAACGTAAAAAAAGGGGTGTGTGCATATTACCGTTGTGTGTTTAATTGTTGGATTTTTTTGAGTAGGTCATTCCTCTTAATAGCAAATTCTTTTGAAAGTTTAAAACAATGACATATAGGCCTAAATTAAAATAAATAAAAATAACATGTGATATAATACAGGAGAGTTAACAACAAATCAAACTCTTCTCCTCCACCACCCACCGAGTGTACTTTTGGTAATAATCAAGGATGTGCATGCGTGACCTTTTCATACAGAGATCCCTCCCTGTTGGTTCTGGAACGAAAGACACCTGTACGCTAATCGATTTATAGCTATTTCATACACCAATAATACCTGGCAATTCATACAAAGATTTTGAAGCAATGTTGCGATCATCTGAGTTGTGGAATTTGACCGAAAACTTTTCGGAATTCAACAGTAAAGAAAATCGGGCAAATAACTGCGTAACTGAAATTTTAATATTGAAACGCATATCTCACTTTTTGATAAAAAATTATGTATGTAACAAAGTAGTACATGTAGTCTTAACTTTTGAGCAACGTGTGATGATTTCATAAAACTCCATGAAACTGTAGAAAAATTATACGTCGTTTTACTTATGTGAATTGAAGCTTAATTTTATGTTGTTTTTAATGTACCGGCGGTAGCCTATTTTGAATAGTTAAAATGCATATAAAGGAGTGAAGAAATTTAAAATTATAAAATACAGGCACGTAGTATCGTTTTTGAAAGGGGGGGGGGCAGCCAGATTTTTTTTTTTTTGACAACCTACCTGAAAAAAACCTTGACAAGCAACAAAAAAGGTAAAGTGTCCAAACTCGAAAATCCTATTTCGTGGGGGGGGGGGGGGGCACCTTCCACTTTGTTCTCGAAACACATTATAATACCAAATTACTTTGATTTAAACTTTCCTACAACAGGGGGGGGGGGGGGCAGCTTTTTCAGTGGACATTTACAATAGAAGTAGGTTATGTTCGGAAAAAAGTAGGGGGGGGGGGGCAGGCCCCTACTGATGCTACGTGCCTGTAATATTTTCTAAGAATTTAAGGGTACATATAATAGTCTATCGAAATCAGGATTGCAATTCAACTGATTTGTAACGATATTGTAAGACCAAATTCAAGAAGATGTACAAGATGAACTTAATGAGCTGGGACTTGGCTACACATGCATATTTATTTTCAATGCAGATTTTGACAATAATAAATTTGCACACGGTAATTAAACAAAAATTTCTTGAAGTTTATATTCATCATATGTTTTCTTATATTTATTCGTAGTCATGCTCAAAGTAAAACAAGACCTGATTGATGCCATTGATACACATGTACAATATTGCTATAAAGCAACTTTTTAATTACTTGTACATATATACGTACAAAATTCATATTGCATTGATTAGTCTTTTTAACTCATAATCTGATTTTTCAAAAATGTTTGATATGCACATAAATAATCTATTAAAAAGTGGAGCTTTATCAAATATGTTCCTTGAATGTTATTGAAGATTATTTTCATTTTATAATTATACAGTCATGTTCTTTTTATAATGACTATATATTTGGGTAAAAAAGTGTTATTACAAAAAAACAAGTGTTCGGATAATAATTAAAATATCATGCATACAAATTTGAAATGTAAATAAATTTGTTATCTTGGAAAATCTTTGTCAAACCTCGAGCTCCATGAAGAACATGATTTATTTGCATTTTCAAGAGCGATAAAACACGTTCTATGTTCTTTGTATTCATTATAATATCCATTCCCATTTTCTTGTTTATAACATTGTATGCAGATGTATTTAGTAATTCACTGTTTTAAAATTTCTGATGTGTCATTTTGCTCCAACGATTTGAAACTTTGATAAATACATAGATTCAGATGTTGCGACTCAATCAATCCACGAACCCGATCCGCCACTAATGTCATTAGTTTTACCGGTGCCAGGATCATTTGATTAGAGTTTTGTTATTTCATTTGGACAAATTTTAAGTAACAAAACACAAAACCGGATGTAAATAAAGCACATAGAGTATATATTTTTCCTTTATCTGGCCCTTTTTATTAAAAGTGTAAACATTTATCAAGTAATCGCCATTACGAATGAGGGTAAGACTTACCCTTAGGAATATCTTGTTTTTTAATGAGCAGTTTTTGACTGAAAATATGCGATATCATGGAAGGAATTCATAACAGTGTAGGCTACAGATATCTAACTAAAATTGATATCTTCATATTTTATAAGTAAAGATACATGTATAATTAGAAATATTTTTTATATTTGACTTTAAAAACATACTGTGTATATCTAAGGTCAGGTAATCCCCACTTTTTAATCTTTTTGAAAATAAAAAATATATCCAGCATACTGAATAATTTCCTATTCCCAAATGAAAAAAAAAATCTGCTCAAATGAAATCATAATTAGTACAAATGAGAAGTACCGAAATAAATTCTACAATTTAATGATTATAATCAGCAATAAGTCTGCCATCATTTTCATGAAGAATCCACTTTATTAATCGTTTTATTATGCATGTGTTAATTTTATTTTATACAAGTAATTTCCGTTAAAGTTGTATCTATACGTTAGATAATTTTAAAAGGCCATATAGAGCGTATATTTTGGGAAAAAAAAATAAATTAATAATTCTACCATTTTTTAAAAGCAAGATCTGTTTATCGTTAGGAATTTAGAGTTTGCTGTGTATTACTTTTTGTTCAGAGTCGAGTGCATCATATGCAATGGTACTTTTCCCCCCGCATTATAACACAACCATGCGATTCCTTTCTTGTCACAATTTATGTCCGGCATCATATTATACCTCCATATTTTGGCTAGGATCTCGGTCAATATAAGAAAAATGTAATATATCCGAACAACTTTTAATTTTTTTCACACAGTTCACAAGAAAACACTTCATTCGTTTGATTTGCATTAGCTAGAAATCGGATCGAGTTTTAGCAAAGAAATAAAGAAGCAAACAAACATGCATATCATCGTCAACGCCATTTTCTCTCGATTACATCCAGCATTTAAGAAGAGATAAAGAGTACAGAAAACCAAGAACACAATGAATATTCTATGTGCATAATTATGATATGCGCAGCTGTGTGCGCAGTAAAATTATTTGTGTAATTTTTAGTTTCCTCTGCTCGTGCAGTTTTTGTTTTACGTTTCTGCATTTTATACCCATTAATCGTGTAAAAAATTTCGGATTCGTGTATTTTTCGTTATGATTGTGTTAAAATCTTTCAAACAATTTCTGTGCAATTTTTTCCGATACGTGCATTTTCATTTTACTCGTGTATATTTATCATCAAGCTCGTGTATAAAATCGTGATCGTTGTGCAGAAAATAATTTTGAAGCAATCTGCGTGCCATATAAATGAATTATGACAGCTTTCTAAAACACAATGTATCTTTTGTTTAGATTTTTTTTTCCTTACACGCAACACATTTTGCTATAAAAGGCCATTTTCAAAAGTTAACAATTGAAAATCTTATTCATCAACTGCAAAACTACCTTTAACTCATTTTCAGTTTACGTAATTCTAGCCTTCCACGCGTATGTAATTTACTTTGCAGAATACATCATGTAATGTACTTCACACAGAGAGTGACATTTATTGCGTCAAACGCAACGATTATAACTAGGAACTGGTATTTTGGTACATGTATTTCATTTCCTGATTTTATATGCTAAACAACGAAAGTAAAAATAGAACACGTGTTTGTATCTGGTTCTGCTCAATGTTACTTTTTATAAGCATTAATGTTTGTTGTCTATACATGAATTCATAATGCCTGCTTGTATTTGAAACATTTATTTACAACAAGGAATATCTAATTGGTTCTATGTATAGAAAACATACTACTGTCACAAATGTAGTTCTAAATAATAATTATAAGGATCAGAAATGTAGCTATCCATTACAAGATAAAGAGTATAAATTTATACGGAGATAATTTAATGATGTAAAATGTTAAACACTATTTCTTTGTGATACAAGTAAAAAAAATCATATTAAAATCATTACATGGCAAGAATTAACACATATTAATTCTAGTTAACTGTGCCTTATCATCATTAAAGACTGTTTTAATGCTTCCCATCTATCTTTCCATTTATACCAAGTCGGGCGACTATGGCGAGACACAGCAGAATATATATATTCTCCGTTAAGGTTTGAGAGGGTACAGGTGTTGTACCACCAGGCTCCGTGATATGAGGTAGCACAGGCACCACTACCATACTGGTCATTGTCCTGATTTTTGGTGCTAAATTTCATACCATTGTTATCAGCCATACTATCACCTGTTAAAGGGTATTGATAACATTAAAATTCATTGCTTATCAAGAACAATTAATATCACAGTAAAAAAAACATCATGAATTAGACTGTCGTGTACTGTATATCTATATTAACGTTATCCTAGGTAATAAAACATTCATTATTTAATTTATACATACAAATGTTTAAATATAGAAATTATATTTATTACGTACTTTTCATATATATTTATGAATACGATTCGAATCAAAATATTTGGAAAGTACAAATAAAATATGTATAAAAAGCCTACTTCTGTAATGAAATTGTTAATCATTTACTGTGTTTTTAGGCAATATCGCGTTTCCTTTAATTTCAAATATACAAAATAATCCTAAAGGCTTGATATAATCTTAGGTTTAGATTTGTCAATTAATTTTTATTTAATTTTTAATAATGATAAGCATATAAAACATACATATTAAAAATGTTTTAGTGTATGTTTCCTATCATTGAAACCTTAACTCGGCAATTGTGATCAGATACCTTTAACATCATGGAACAGTGAGGTGTGTAAAATCATATAAAGGCCTATACCTGCCGTTCCTGAATACCCCGACACAGTGAGTATGTATTTACTGCCTTCGTCCCCAACATAAAATGTGGAGTACTTAGCGTATGCTTTGTCACCATTAAATCTTTGTAGCTCAACCCGGAGTTCCTGGTCCTTGTTTCTTGTCAACTCGTAGATTGCATCATTTCCTTTTTTTTAAAAAAAAATACATCAGCACACTCTTATATTTAATTGTTAAGTGTAGCCGTTTTATCTGATTATGTAAAATTAATATAAATTTAATTAAATTTGAAAAAAAAAGATTTTAGTCATCGAAAGATCTCATCTTTTTAAATTGTAAAATTTGAAAAATTTTTCTTACATGGAACACTTCTATATTTAATACAGGTACAATATCAACAAATTATATTCCGTTGCACATATTTGTTCTTAACTATTTAGTAGTTTGTATCAGAGGCAAGAAATATTATGCCGCAATCAAATTCCGAATTAACTTGTTGAAAGGAATGCTTTCATGTAGGTAATAGTATTCCAGTACTTCTCTAATCATGACAAAGAATTTCATTTTAAAATCTATTCATATATCTCTTGCTTAGACAAAAAACATTATGGATCAGTAATTTTCGTGAGGTTAATTATCCCTGTTTTCCTGGTTTGAAGACACCAACAAATTAGTGTTTTTCTCAAAATGTTAAAATTTCAAACCCCAGTATCTTGTTTTATCACTTCTTCAATCACGAATCAATACGTTTTCATCAAACTCAGAAAATTTAAACCCTCGAAAAATAAGTGATTTTACAGTATTATTCAATTCAAAAAGTCTTTTGTTTATCGTGTGGGAAAACCTTTCATTCGAAAAAAAAAATCTCCAAAACATTTTTATGCTTTATACGTCACCTGCAGAACAGAGCGACACTTGGGGATTACATTACCCGGCGTCCGTCTGTCTGTCTGTCTGTCCCTCTGTCACACCCTATATCTTGAGATCTGTAAGAGGTATGTACTTGGTATTTTCCTCGACACTTTGGTTTGTGTAAAATACTATAGTTACTGAACTTGCCCAGCTGAACTTGACTTTTGACGTACTTTTTCAAAATAGTTCTTTGTGCTGATATACAGCACACCTTTGATATTTAAGAGTTAAGTCTATACTATTAACCATGTGCATTGTTTGCCATAAATCGTCATAGAAAACACCAGCGTTACCTCCACTTTACCTTGACCTTTGACCTACTTTGCAATAATACTATGGACGGTTGATTAAACTTGAGTTTTTAATTTTGAACGGTAGTGTTTTGATAATTAGCATTCAAATATTTTAATTTAAATAACCTGAAAATGCATCTGATTCGGTATACTAAAAGGATCGTTGTAGACTGAAGAAAGACTGAAATCTCTTTTTGAGGATAATTGGATTAAACACGTAGGCCTACTTATTAAATGAAAAAAAATAAATTATTTTTTCATTATTTCAATATCATTATTCTTTTAAGCTTTGAGGGTTGGGGAATCATATTTCTATTTGATAGTCAGATTTTATATGATAAGTGCTATTCTTTCGGATTTACTATTTCTGGATTTTCTTTCTCTGCTATAATATTGATGTTACATTGTAGTAGCAAATAAATAGTTGATCACCCTATGATGTTTATAATATTTAATGATGCTATAAAGCAGGCGACACATGCATTCCTTGGAACACTCTAGTTAAGGGGAATACGTACTTTCAAAGAAGTGACATTTCCTTAATTCTGTTCTATTCTATCGATAAAAAAGTTTTATTCATGATATCTCTCCCGACCACACCCTAACCCCCCAAACCCAAAGCAGAGAATAATTATATTTGTTAAGGTACGAAAAGACTAGATATTGGTGGATCCAGGATGTTTTTTCCAGGAATGGGGGAAGGTCCACACCCACTCAAATATTTTTTGACTGGCCAAAAAAAAAATAAATAACGTAAATAACTTGTTCAAGGTCATTTGTTTTTTAAAAAAAATTAATTTACATAAATTCAATAACTCATAATAAACACAAGGGTTGTAGAGACTCCTCAACCCAACCCCGCTTTAGATATGCGCATGCTTTATAGGTGGACTTTGTTGTTCATAGACAGAACAGAGTGTTCATATTATTAAAAGACTTAAATTGTAAAACTTGTTTATCAACAGTTTATCAACGACAATATGGATAAAATGTTGATTCAGGCTTTATATCAGTTTAACAACAGTTTAAGTGTTTCAAATTCCTGAGCTAGCAAGATTTAAAGAAGGCTGCGTCAGATTTGAAAACACAACTTCTAAGATTTGGAGTCTCTTTTTGAGCAATTGTTTTCATATCGTTACAATAAAAGAAAAAAAGGAAATAGAAAGATAATTTATTGTGTGAATTTCAAGAGCATTTAGAGATGTATGAATGAGTTTAAAAGGGAAATCCTATATCTAAAAAAGAATTCTGAAATTAAATAGTTCGTTTTAAAAATGAAGCTTATATTGTTTCCTTACAAACAAAGATACATAGCGGGTTCCAGTAAATGTTCAACCAAGCCTCTATCTTTACTCCTCACTAAGATATTAACAGTGGTGAAGGAGAAACTTCAAGAGTACTGTGCAACAATATATTCGAGAAGTGGTGTAAATCAGATGTGGATACTTAAAAATTCCAAGGAACTTTTGGAAAATTTGAAATCACAAGATTTTACCAAAATCAACAGCTTAAAAACTTACGACTTTTCAACTTAGTACACAACCGTTCCCCACGATAAATTAAAGTCCAGGCTTTTTGATATCATTGACAGCTGCTTTTTCAATAAAAATGGAACTCGTAAATATACTTACCTTGTCATTGGTCATTTGCAAAATTAGTTTGTTAAAAACATTTTGATTGTTCACACAAGTACTCTGAAGTTGACATTAAAAAGATGCTTGAGTTTCTGATTGACAATATCTATGTGGTTTTTGGAGACCAGGTCTTCCAACAATCTATTGGAATTCCCATGGGTACCATTTGCGCCCCGTTATTAGCAGACCTTTTTTTGTATTCATATGAAGCAGAATTTGTCCAAAATCTTGTACGTGAAAAGAAGAAAACACTTGCTGTGGCCTTCAACTCGACATTTAGATATATCGACGACGTATTGTCAATTAACAATGGCTATTTCCATTCTTATGTCGATTCGATATATCCTTGTGAACTTGAGACAAAAGATACCACAGAGTCTGACACATCTGTTTCATATTTGGATATTTTACTTGAAAAAGACGTTAATGGAAATCCAACAACCAAGCTTTATGATAAACGTGATGACTTTAACTTTTCAATCGTCAACTTCCCTTACTTATGCAGCAATATACCTTCATCACCTGCATACGGGGTATATATCTCTCAGTTGATTCGATACGCAAGAGCATGCTCTACGTATGTACAATTTCTAAAACGAGGTAAATTATTGACAAATAAGTTGATGAAACAAGAATATCAGCTGTCTCGTTTAAAGTCATCATTTCGTAAGTTCTATGGTCGATACAATGACCTTGTCAGCAAATACAATTTACCATTGATATCATTGAGTCAAATGCTGACTGACGTTTTTCACACTAATTGTTAGGCCATTATTTACACACTGAATTGTCGACGGATTTTTCCGTTATTTCCCGATCATGACAAGGAGCACACGGCGGGTGTGACCGGTCGGCAGGAGATGATCACTCCTCCATGGCACCTGATCCCACCTCTGATGTTTGGAGGTCCGTGTTTGCTCTGCTCCTATTTTGTATTGATTAATAGTCTTTTGAGCTTGAATACTGTTCGTTATCTCCATATATTTCATTTCAATTTCATTACAACACGGAACGTGAACTGATTCATAACAATTGAAATTTTTGAATTTGATGGAGCAATTTTAAAGTCATTCATTTTAAAATATTGATGGAACAATGGTCAAATACCAATCACATGTAGGGTGAGTTCACCTTATATCGGACATCCTCGTACTTACCCATCAGGCACGCGACGTCGTTTCAACGTTGAAAGTAGGTGGAATTAAAGTTTTAACGTTGAGCAACTATACTTCAACGTTGAAAAAGTGAGGAAAATTTAAATTTGAAACAAAGCGTAATGAGCACCTTATTTTTCAAGGTCAAAAAAGTAAGGGTTATTTAACGCTAATTCAATGTAATTTTTTGCAATATATATGCATTGTGGAAAATGATTCTTCACAATAAATGAAATGCATTATAAATTAATTTATTTAAATTACATTTTGCTTTCAGTACCGTAATAAAATGTTTCATTTGAGTTTTATATAAAGTATGACATCTACATTCAACACTTCACTGTAATTGCATGTTTCAAACAAGTTAATTTCGTAAATTAATTCTAAATGCAGTGTTTTTGCATAAATGAAAAAAGAAACTTTTTTATGCTGAATATAAACATTTAATAAATAATGGCATCTTTATCAAGCACTTC